TTTTTTTTTTTTTTTTTTTAGCGAATAAAAAGTACCCGCGCGCGAAATCACGCAGCGTGTTAAATCCGGGTAAAAAGGCTATTCTCGTAGCGCGGGTATGATATGGTAATGTGACGGTCGTGAACGTCCGCGGACGATTTCTGCGGGAATCCCGGAATGTACGGTTCGCGGGCCAATATCGCACGCGCCGTTTTATAATAAGACCGTCGTAATATACTCACAGACATGAACGTCCTTTTCAGCCCTTGCGTGGACTTGGACACGAGCGTCTTCCGCCGGCTCGGCTGTTCGTCGCTGTTGGCTTTGAGCACGAAACCACCGCGGGTGTCGTCCAGCTTCTTGTCCCGGCCCTCACTGACGATCACCTGATCGTCCGACCCACTGCCCGCCTTGTTGTGGTGCAGGTCCTCCGAGCCCAACGATGACAGCGAGTTCCTGATGCCGTCCGACTTACCCGGCTTTGAGTGCGAGGCCATCCCGAACCGGGCGCTGGTCCGCACCCCGTAACCGTGACGCATGCCGCGCATCCATTGCCCCTGGAACGTTCCTGGAAACCGAATACACTCAACGTCACCACGGAACCCATATAATTTAGTGACCGTTTTAAATTTGTTCTTTCCCCGTCCATTCACTCCTTTAAAAACGATAAACATAAGATAGGGGACTATAGATATAGGTAAATGTAAAACAGAGAGTATTATAAAATATATAGTATGAGTTTGGAGGAACAGGATAAGACACGTAATGACAATACACGGAGAGGTTGAGAGCTACAAGTACCTGGGATTTTTCGTTCAAAAGAATAGGACGTGGCTTTGACAAGCATAAGAAAACGTGTTGTTGGAGGGAAAACATCAGATGTTTTATACGGCAAGGGGATTCCAATGAGACTTAAAGGTAAGTTCTGCAGACTGGCTATGTTATGTGAGCCGGAATGTTGGGCAATAGACAGAAAAATAGAATTGTGAATAAGTATAGTAGAGATGAGAATGCTCAGGTAGACGAGTGGAGCGACGAAAGAAGACGGAATAAGGAATAATTAAGTACGTACGGTATAGCTTAGGTGTGTCTTTGATAGTGGACAAAATGAGAGAAAGTAGACTGAGATGATTTGGGTATATTAGGACAGACAAATCAGAAGTAATAAAAATTGTAACAAAAACAAACGTATGAGAAAATAGTGGAAGATAAAGACCAAAAGAGAGGCAGTTGGGTAGAATTGAGAATGATATGATGATGGCGGGTGTATGCAAGGATGATGTGGTGGATCAGGTCAAGTGGACGTTTATGACAAGGGTGACCGACCCCAAATAGTTGAGACGAAAGCGAAGGAGAAGAAGAGAAGACCCTTTAAAAACGATATATTATTTGATAAAAAAACGATTTTTCAAAAATCGTTGTCACACCTATTGAATAAAATTTAAATTTATCAACTCGACACCATTCATATTCACCATCTAATGCGTTTACAATCTGTCCACCAGCGCATTTATTGCAAGTATTTATGTCGCGTAATCATGAAATAAACAAAAACGTTCACAGCGAAATTGTTCTGCTCGAGAAAAAACTACTCGAATTGTGGATTTAATTGCATAAAAATAAAAAGGAGAACTTGCACTGTTTGAAACGTCAGGTTTGTTTGCTACGAATATAAAAAAATAGCTAATTCTGCAAATAGTTTTGTCCCCGTTATAGGTGGAAATTTAGGAATGTGAGATACATAAAGTTATTTAATTTATATCTGCAACGACAAACCATTGCTGACGTATCACGATTTTTTTTTTAAAATTTAAAGTTTTAACGCTTATACAAATAAAAAAAACTACTTGACTTTTTTTTTTATTTTCGACAACTAAGTACAACTTATAACGAACCCCGGGTTAAATTTCCAAACGTTTTTGTTTAGCCAAACAATTAAATTAACGTAAAACAAAAAAAACTAAAAAATGTCAAAATGCTAAATAATTAAAAATGGCCGGAATGTTTGACAATTTGACCACGTCTAAAAATGGCCAATGAAATAGTGTGCGTATTATTATTGTCCAACCAAAAAAAAAAAAACAAAAAGCAAAATCGAAAATAATGAAACCGTGATTGCCGTCTGTCTTGCTGTGGGTTTTCTCAATTATTAATAAAACTACGAGAAAACTCAGAAAACGGCACAAACTAGGCAATTTTTTTTTCAGAAAAAAACTCGGAGCGTGATTTCCCGCAAAAAGCGCACACCATAGTGAAACCATAAAACACGTCTCACTCCGTTCAGAATCTAAAAAGTTTTTAATGTTCTAAAATATGATGGCATCGCGTTTTTCAAACTCGAATAACAGCTTCCGTTCAAGAAAAACTGAAACCGAATTTACAAAGTTCGCGATAATTTTTTTTTATTTTTTTCTATTGAACATTCGGTTGATCAAATATTTATTTTATAATATTTTGTATTGCTCGAGTGATTTTCGACCGCGCAAAACGGTTTCTCCGCGTATATTTTCGTTCAATTCGCGATTACGCGATGTAAAATACTCGTGATAACGGCTGCGCGGGTAAACGTATTCTACAGTAAACTCTTTGAATATTTTCGGGTTAGTTAATAGTTGCGATAATTTAAGAAAATTCCGGGAAAATCGCTCGGGCGCCAGTATACTTAAGCGTATTTCGCGATACGGTTATTTTTTTTTTTAAAAAAAACGTTAACTCGCGCGCAAGGAATAAAAATCATAAAAAAAAAAAACGCAATGATATCGTACCACGGTCGCTAAACTAGATTCGTTTCCGATTTTTTTTTATTATTATTATTATTATTTTTTTTTTTTCTTCGGTTCGTCTCATTTTCGTCGTATAACGAAGCGGAAAAAATCGGTTCGCCTATATTATACGCGCGTCCCGACGGCGTACACCAATAAACACTGCAACTATAGGGGTACAATATGCGGCGAACGAAATCGTCTATAAATAACATCTATTAGATATCAATTTTTTTTTTTTTTCTTCAATCGCCGACAAATTTCGATTTACACGCGTACGAACACGGCGTATTATCTGATTGGCGGCGCGAAAACCGCCGGTGTTTGCTCTGCGCGCAAATTTATACCGGCGCCGTCGCTTTAAAATATTTAAATTTTTAATATCTCCGCGGCGGATAACACTGCCGCCGCCGACGCCGCCGCCGCCGTCGCCGTCTACTACGCTCGTAAATTACGGCCGTTCGAAACGCCGCCGTCGCGAATCCCGATAATAACGTATTATCATTAAAATATATTGAAAAAAAATAAAAAAACAACAACAACAACAACAACCCCTCCGAAGTGCGTGTTTATTGTTATCCCTTCGCGACGAAAATCAGACTTCGCGGCGCCGGCCCAGTTCGGGTTCGGCCGCAGTAATAACGCGCACGTGGGAATGGGATTGACATCCGCCGTATTTTTCGACCGCCATTCGGATGCGGTGGGTGGCGGGGGCGAGTGGGGGACGGTGGACTGATACCGGGGTCGCCGGAATTTTCGACACGGAAATCTAATTACTTTTGTTGATTTATGGGCGTAACCTCGGTGATACGACAACGACAATTTCCCTATTGTTTCCGTCGGTACCGCGGCAACGCCGCCGGGCGGGACAGCCGATGTAGGTAATGCACATAACGCTGTATGAAAACGGGTGAAAAAAAAAAAATTAAAAAAAAATATTAACGAGAGGAAAATATTATCGGGTTTTTTTTTTTTTTCTTTTCGCCCGCGAATTCGCGGCGTACTATTTTGTACATATTATATGGCGGTACTCGAACGGATCTTGAAAACGAAACGAAACGGGGGAAGGAATTGAGGGGACGGAACCACTAAAATACGCTCAAATCGACGGAGAAAATAAATTAAAAACGGTTAAATGAAAAACCCGATACAACTCCGGCGGCTACGGCCCGCGGTATTCAAATAATTATTATGTAAATACCGTCGTCGGACAAGAGGACGCGCGGCTAACGAAAATTAAACTCCGATAAATTAAACCGACTGCGAATGTAATCATTTTGAATTTAAACAGCGGAATCTTCGTACGCGGCAAAGTCACAATAATAATAATTGCGTTTAACTCAATCAACTCGCCCGAAAATATTAAAAGACAAGCGGAACAATATTTATGATAATTTATTGTTTAACTCGACGGAACGCGGCCAGTGTGTTTCGTTTTCGTCCTTGCCGGTTTTTCGGTGCGCGCGCCCGTCGCCGTGGCGCGGGTCCTCGCCGCGCGAAAAGGCCCGAATTCCTTTCCGTTTTCAATTATTTTTTAACGCGATTGTAATAACAATTATCAAACCCGACGGACAAATCGGATGGTCGGAGGAAGGGGGGGGGGGTCTTGAGCACGCTCAGCGACCCCGGTTTTTAAAACGGGCGCCCCCGAATTCCGTCCGCGTTTATGTAGGTACCTACTACTGTACTGCAGTATTTGAAAACAGTGAGTTTTCCGAACGGATATTAGTTCCTACGAGTTTTCCGAGTATTCCTGTAGAATCGATTAGATGGGTGTTTTTTTTTTTTTTGAAATAATAATATTTTTAACGCAGAATTTCACTTATATAGTCGAGAAAAAAAATTAATATCATTAAATTGCTCTGGCTTGGTACACGTTTTTCGTATTACCATTAATACAGGTAGGTACACATACACATTACTACTGCGTAACAAATTAGTACCTTTATGTTTAACTAACCATCAAAACGGACGATTGTGCTTTAAACCAGTAAATTATTTTAAAATGTATTCGTATGAACGACTGTAGAATGTTACGTCGAATAGGAGGGGGTTAGCTCTTCCCTGCCCCTAAAATACTAAAAACGCAAAACTAATCAAATTGCAGGTGATCAGTTTTTGTTTGTTGACGAACAAATTTGATACCTCGATGCCCGTTTCAGTACGAATAAGACAAATTCAACAAACATCGTTCGAAACTTGAATTTGGTTTCCACGGCGATTTGAACTGTGCAATTCAGAGCCTTTTAATTTCTTTTCAACTTTCGCCCACGGACGGTGAAACTGCAGTTTGTTGTTTTGTTATGACATTCCCTACAGTTAGAAAACTATGTATAAAAATCATGCGTAAAAGACCACGCAGGTGAATTAGGAGCTGTTTAGCTAAAACAGACAGAACTAGCTTACAAATAGATTGCAAAAAGCAATATTTGAATTAAATTGGAAATAAAAACTATGATAAGGATAATAATTTTTAACGATAAGTGAAAACGTCGACCGATTTCGCTTTTACGGATTCTCGCGTTGTTCAACAATGTTGCGCGTCGTTTGAAATCATTGAAATCAGCTCCGAACGATATTTTATCCGTGACAATGTCCCGACCGTTTGTTTAAATCGTTTCAACGATAACATTTGTTTGGAACGTAATTATTTAGCTTGGAAACGGATCTTAATACTTATGGCTATTTATTTTTATTTTTTATAATAAAGGCATTTAAAACTGCATAAATGGATTTTGCTTAATCGAATCGAATTGTATTTTATATTTTATACGTCGCAGAGATACAGATCGATTATTACGATTCAATTGAAAACACCAACAACGATGTAATACGTTTAAACAAATAAATAATTGAATTAATTTGTTCACATGCGAGTTTTATAAGGTTAACGTGTGATAAAAATTTGAAATGAGAAACGCTCAATTTGAATTGGAATAATCTTTTGTTTTATATGTACAAAAGGTTCAAGTGTGTAGGCCAATACGTTAAACTCGCGAAAAACTGTCTTTAAATTTATTTTTGTTCAACGTATATTTATGAGTTTTTCGTCCATGTAGAAATATTTTGAACGAAAATCGTGACGCGAATGTCAAGAAAAGTAAAAACGTCTACTGAATTTAAAATCAAATAGGCGCATTATTGGTCTGGATCAGCCACGTCAAAAATGTTTCCTCAAAGTTGCAAAACAAAAGGCAAAAATGCATATAAACATTTATATCGTCTGAAAATCCGAACTGTATTTAGTTCAGTAATTCGGAACGAGTGTTTTTGTCCGAAAGCTAATGTCGAAAAATTAATCATAAAGTATATGGTAATAATATGGTATCCGTACGTAAACTACCAAATCGAATGATCCGATAAACGTTTTGCGTTTTACTCGAATTGTCTGCTACAAGTTTGACTAAAACTTAGACAACAAAATTTTGCTGACTTACGAAATCGACGAAATAAAAGAATATTTCCCATTGTAATTACTACTGTGTCAACACCATAATCAACAATGTCGCGCAATCGATTGAATATATCATTCATTAATCACGCGATTCACACGTGTATTGGTTCACTACTAACGGTTTACTGGAAAAAATTACCGGGTTACAGTGTCCGACTCGCAAAAACATTATTATAGTCAGTGGCGAAACCGGGATTATTTATTGGGGGAGCTAAATACGGTTTTGCTTGAATCGTGATTACTGGTAAGCGAGTTTTTAGGTAACAAAAGAATTTTTTTTTCAAAAAGTATTTTCGTCAGTATTCATTTTTTACCTGATACTATAAACAATGAATTTAAAACAAAATATTTGATTATGTCCAGAAAAGTGAGCCCCAATACCTAACCTCTAGGTGAACAGGTACTCGTTTGAAAAAGTAGAAAAATTTAAATATCTGGGAACAAATGAAAGGTCCATCTAGTAAGAAACCAGAAAAATCGCTTTTTTTTCAAACTGAGAAAAACATGTTTTTAATTTCAAAACGTAACTATTTTTTTTTTTTTTTTTTACAAATTAATAAGTTCGGATTAAATTAAATGTTAAACTTTGAAATGTGGCGACCAAAACACTGCAGTAATATCGCGTTATATTATTAACCGCGGCTATAGCCGTAATCCGTTTGGTTGTCAATTTATTTATCTGTTTTCTTTTTCCTGCACGCCTAAACTATTGGCGCTCATTACTCTCGACTAATTTGGTTTTTTCGCCGGTCGGATCACACAAAAGATACAGTAGAAAAAAAGTTACTTTTCTGTTTTGTTCCTTTAAACGTCAATGAAAAATAAAACCAATATGCACCTTGAGATTAACCTCAGAATAAGTGAAGCCAATAGCCAAGCTACTACGCGATGAAAAGGATGCTTCGGTCATAGTTACTCTCACGGCGAACAAAAGAGAGGTTATACGTTACATACTTACCAGCGTCCCGTATCGGCGTGTGAAACTTGAGCCGGCACAAAAGAAGACGGAGGAAGGTCCGCCTGGTTTTGAAAGGAAAATTTCAAAGCAAATATAATACGGGCCCGTGTATAATGTAGATTCCGGGATTTTCGAGAGAAAGAAAAATGCCGAACTACAAAGCCTATTATTATTTAATAAACCGAATATCTGCCGGTTCCTCGGAAGCAAAAGATTAGTACGGGCAGGGCGCGCGCGGCATGCAGAATATCGACCGCACAAGCAAATAAGTTACGGTCGGAATACAGAGCGGGAAAAGACTACTGGGTAAACCGCGGTCGGAGACGGATCGGCACGGTGAAACGAGCCCGAATAAGTATAAATCCCAATTATTACAACAGCGACAAATAGAATATAACACGGTGGAGAGGAACATTGTAGAAACGGGCGAAATGCCTGAAAACGGCCTGTTTTAATAAGCCGAGAAAAAGAAGACCGTCCGAAACAGAAATCGACGAAAAACTTAATAACGAAATGAGAATATACATTTTTGTATCATATCGCGCAACTCTATACTCGTAATGTATGATACACATTATGTTATGAGGAACGTACACCCATCCGACAGCTGCATCCTCCCACGAGAATTTCGACCAAACGCAGTAATTATATCGTTTTTATTAATGTCTTCTTTCTATTTTTTTTTTTATTTTTTTTTTTTTGCCTGCTAATCTATTGAGTATATTTTCCGCTCCTCGTTTTCGCGTATACGGTTCGGCCGTGGAAAACGTTGTTTCGGGATCATGTAAGCGGCTCTACAGGAATAACTGGAACGCTCGAACCGCAAAAGCAGTAAACGCGCACATAAACACACACTGTGCCCGCGGCGTGTCGGGCTTTAGCCCCGTTATTGCCCCCGCTCCCTCTGTTATCTAAGCCTATTTTATCAGTAAACTCGCGGTTACAACGTCAAAACACGTTCTGAATTATTGTCGTAGACGCGGCCGGAAAAAGTTTTCGCGCGAGGACCGTACATAATATAATTATTTAATATTAGATTTTCTTCGCGTAATCGTATTTACGAATAAAATTTATTGCCCAGTGTCGTCTCCGCTATAAACAATAATTAATAATTGTTTCGAGTTGTTCAAATTTCGGACGGATGACGGGACGGGACGGAAGACGAGTGAGCTGGCGGGCGAGTGGGTTTGTTGAATTAACAGAAACTTTCGCCTACTCCGCCCCCCCCCCTCCCACCAATTCCACTATACCCTCGAAATTCGGGGTAAAACCGAAGCCCGCGCGCTCCGAAGCATATATTACTGCGATTTAATATTCGTTATAAAATATGATAAACGGCGGCCGCGACGGTAAATTTTCGCGGCGTTTTGAAAATGAAAATATCGCGATACATATTACGTTGACTTGAAAAAAAAAAATAATTCGAGTTATATTTCTATTATTATTGTTTACTATATGATTGTTTTAGTGGTTATAACACGCGACGGATGTGGTCGAACGACAAGAGGACCTAACGTGAAATAATAATAAGAGAAAAAATATTCTATTATAACAATACTCGGAGTGCGGTTTTTTTTTTTTTTTTTTTTAATTATGTTAAAAGGAAATATATATTTTGTGACGATGGACAATACGGTTACGCCGTCGATGGGTTCAATTATTCACGTCAATCCGCGTGCATATTGTAGTAGGCACCTTTTTTTTTTTTTTAGTCTTTCGTGTTTCGAGCCTGCCCCGGCGGCACGTGTACCGGACGCGGGTATACGCTGTACACACAATACACAATAGTTATTAATTGAAACCGACGTTCGTAATGCGAGAAAAATAAAAAAAAGTGGACAAGAAAAGAAGGGAAAATATACCGACCGAGGACTGCGAAAATGCAACGACCACCCCTATCCACGGCACTTGTGTCTACGTTTTTTTTTTATTTTTTTTCTTATTTGTTCGATGTATTTTTTCTCGTGCTATTATTATTATTCCGTTATATAATATCACGGCCCGCGTCGAAAATTGAAAAGAAAAAACAACAACAACACACCGTTTACACACGCCGAAAGCCGAACGTGCTCCAAAAGGATTTCCGTTTGCGGTGGTGAAACGCGCGCGCACAACGTTTCGATTTACCCCCTAGGCTTCGCGAGCGGACCCGCGCAAAACGTTACAATATCCACGTCGACCGAGACTGCGAGCGCGCCGCGCACGCCGGTTGTTGTTGTTATTATTATTATTATTATTATATACCGGTACAGCGTATGCGTGCGCGCGTGGCGGGTACTTTTCGCCGTTTTCGATAACGCGGCGTTTGATAACGCCCCCGCGAAAGCTCGGCAGCTCGGCGCGCCGCGGGCGTCGAAAAGCGGGGGAACAAAAAAAAAAAATAATAATAATAATAATAATAATAATAAACGAACCGTGCCCGCGGGCGTCGGTACGGATACGGCGCGCAAAGGACGTCGTGCGGCGGGCGGTGGCGCCGTACCGTGTTCTAAGGAGGTGGGCCGCAGGTGAAACGTCGCGCAGACCGCCGCCGCCGCCGCCCCCCCACCCCCGTTCGCGGAACAGATTACCGCGCGACGCGCTCGCAACTAATACGCCGCGCGCGCGCGCGCGCGCCTAACCGATACGTGAACACGGCGAACAATACGGTAAACAACGGAACGATGGCTCTCGGGCGGTGCCCGTCGTCCGAATGAATAGCGCGGCGACGGACACCCCGCGACTGCCGGTCCCGGCGCCGCCCTGCGTTCGGGGGGGGAGGGGGGGCCAGGAGGTGCGGATGACTGGCGCACCGGGACCCGTTTCGGCGTCCGGCCGGTTCTAATTGGACAGGACCCGTCCGGACCGATTTTCGGCGAGACGCAACTTTGTGCGTGCAGCCGGCGAGCCGCAACTTTAGACCGAAAGAGCCGCATGTGGCTCGCGAGCCGCAGGTTTCCGACCCCTGGTTTAACCGAACGTATATTTAACGAGCCTCTACGTGCAGGTAGTATTTTATCTGCGTTTTCTTACCGTGCACGAGACATCGGTACACATATATCTGTTTACATAAAGATAATATCTATAGGTACATGTTTAATGCAACCGCGTTTTCGGTGCGTTTTGAAATCACATTGATACACAGAAACTGTGTGTGAACATTTTCACATTTATTACCTGGTTTGAAAATTAATTTTCGCAGTTTGATTTAACGGTTATTTTAGCTAGGCTCTATAGAAATTTAAAAGTATCGGCCCAAACGTTCCCGATCCAAACGCGCTTTGCCCGTTCGAATTTACCGCGACGTGTGTTTTATCTTGATGTGCGTGGTGTACAGCAGCGGTTCTCAACCGGGGGTCCCCGAGAAGGTATTAGGGGTCCCCGGAAAAAAAAAAGCGTAATGGCGGAAAAATTGAAACTAGTTGTAACTAATTGAAATTACTCGTGAAACTAGTTGTGAAATACTGTAAATGATGTAAATAGGTTTTTCGTAACTTATACGATTTAGTATAAGCGTATAATAAGAGTATAATACCATAATTGGTATAACATATCATTCTAGGCGGCGCGGCGGTACGATAAGATTGTATGTAATCCGGTAATGTGGCGTTGCTCGTCACAATTACATATTATTTATTATCTTAAATTCAGATAAAACTATTCTCGTGAACGGTTTGTTTGATATTTGTATTCCAATAATTAGTCAGTCGCTTGCTTTCAAAGAGACCGTGTCACACACAAAACGTATTTGTAATTACTATTTTTTTTTTTGACATTGTTTAACGTTTTCACAATTTTCGACCGTGGATCATTGGTTAAAAACTGGTTAGCGTCAGTAAAAGGAAAACTACTGAATCAACCGATCCTATTCATACTCAAGAAGTGCCGTCATCAATTACTTATATGTCCACAGAAAATCTTAAGAAGTTACCTAGTTTAGAAAAATTGGCATTTGGGTGTCCGTAAAGTAGTAGTCAAGAGTGGTCGAGGGGTGCGTGAACGAAAAAAGGTCGAGAACCGCTGGTGTACAGCGACTTCGGCCGCCCCCGTCCGCTTGCTCGTTACGTAGTCCGCGATCCCGGCTCCACGAATCTTTGAGAATTTCAGCCGCCACTGCCGTCACCGTCCTCCAATAATCGCGGTCCTATTACGTATTAGATATTCGCTTACCGGTGTCACTTCCAACCTCTCTATCCATCTATCTCTCTATGTTGCGTGTCTCGCCGCACTGTCCGCTTTTTTTCGGTCTTCCACTGGGCGCATTTCCTCCTGCTGTTCTAACTCGCATTGTTTCCTCCCCGCGGTCGCCGCGTACGATGAATCGTTATGCGCCTTTATCGTCCGTTCCCCTATTAGTGTATACCTGTTTTTTTACTTCTACGCCAACAGTTCAATCAGTCGTCGAAAACTGTTCCGCGTTGTAATGATATTATCGTTCTTAGCGCCCCTTATCCTCCAAGGCCGTTCTCAAACGATCGTATGCTTCGATGTGCGAAAAATGGCTTAATTTAAAAGGCGCGCAATATCGCAACACTAATTTCCCCGTGAACTCGTTGTGAACTGCGTGTTTATATGATAAAAATCTCTTGGATATTAGGGCGGAAAATAAGCACGAAATCGTATACAAATATAACCTTTTTTTTTTTTTTTTTTTACGGCACAAGATAGGCGGGCGTCCCGAATAAAATGTTGAAATTGGCAATATGAGGATCACCCTGATGCATAATATAATATTACGATTCGGTATTCGAATAATAAATAGACTATTAATTTCTTCGTTTTATTTTTCTCGCGAGTTTAACCCAAAACGACTATGATGTTTTACCCAAACGTATACTGTAGGTAGGCGCTGGAAGAGGGGAAAAAAGGTCAAAATTATCAAAACGACCCGGTATTCATCCCCCCCCCGGATGATTTATATGTCTCGCCGACCGTTTTCCTAGGGTCTTTTCTCAACCCTACCCCCTGACCTGTAACCTACCGCACCCGCTCCGTCCCGAAACCGTCACACGGCCGCGTGCGAAATTTCGATATCCGCCACCGGATATATTATTATTGTTATTATTATAGTGAGGAGAGACCGTGATGAATGATGATGACGATAATAATAATAATAATAATAATGATAATAACAATAACAATAATATTAATAATAATAATCTAAATAGTGCACAACAAAACCCGTACCGCCGTCGGCGTATGTCTCCGACCCGTAACCGTCTTGCAGCCCGTTCGCCCAGGTCCCCTCGTATTTGGCGTTCGTCGTGGCCGACTGTCTGACGCCGTACCGACCTTTGAATCCCTGCGTCCATTCTCCTCTGTACAGCCACCGGCCCCGGGACTCCACGCCCAGACCGTGCCGCTTGCCGTTTTGCCATTGACCCTCGAATGTGTTACCGCTAAAATGAATAATAAAAAAAAAAAAAAAAAAAATCATCAGTTATTCGTATTTTATTCGTATTGTTGTTATTTGTTCTGTACCGGGTCATAATGAGTGCACGCCTATAAATTGTGAGTGCGATGGTATATGGGAGTATGTAGCGGTTGGAAATTTAAAAAAAAAAAAAAACAAATACAAACACAAATATTTGATTAAATATCGATTAATATTTGCATATTTGCATTTCGTTTTTCGTGTTATTTACGTATTAAATAATATTAATTATTATCATTATTACACAGGCCTCATGTTATGATATTATGTTAAGGCCGACGGTGAAAATCGGATATAGCGTCTACCGCTTTTCGTTCGGACCGAGTAAATCGAATTATTAAAATATTTATAAAAAAAAAAAACCCCCCCCGTCGTAAATCGTTTGAAAATTAAAATACCGACAAAATACTTTAACGTACAAACACAGAGAGAACCGTCTCGCCTTAACTCGTATGTTCGCCGACAATATTTGGATGACGGCCAATTCACTCTGATATTCAAAACCGACGGCATAAAATCGACAATACCGAACGAAACGTCGACGTCATCCGATGTCCGACGTTAGCCTCGACATAATATTTAGGTATTAACTGTGGCGCCAAACCACGTTCGAACGAAGGTGGACTGGTAAAAAGTCGTATAGACCATCACCCCTCGTTTACAAAACAATTCTCGCACACAACACTCTCAATTAATATTCCGTGCGTATTAATTTGATAAAATAATATAGTACCAGGTACCCATCATGGACCCACCATCACCCACCCATTAAAAAAAGGGTGGCGACTGCCATATTAGGTTTATAATTCCTCTTCTTGGCAATTAAAAAAAAATAAATAGTCTATAGGTATATAAACTATAATTAATAATATGCGAAAAAAAAAAATTATGTTTAAATATTACAATATATATGTTACGATCAAATGCCGAAATCGGGCAAATCTCAGAAATGTGAAGAATTAAAATTTATGGACGTTACAGTTTCGCCCAAATAATGTTAGTGACTAAACTATACAGATTTGTCCGGAAAAAGGTCGAAATAATGGTCGTTTTGCCCCAGTACAGTGGACATTTCACGTTTTGCCCGGACATTTCTGAAATTTGACGGCCACAACATAATATGCATAATATATGCACACATTGTATATTTATATCGAACAATTATACACAAAAATATTTACAACAATTTCAAAGCAATTTTAATCTTTTTTTCTCCTACAAACCGCAATGTGTGACAGCTACTATTTGGACACCCACTTCGATATCTTTAAAGGTATTATAGACGAAAAATTGCCCTAGTTACTTTTTGGTAACGCTGATAAAAATACCCAAGAAATAATAAATAACACGGTTATGAAGGCTACATGTAAACTACAAAAATGAACTTTTTATCAGTATTTTAAACATAGCGTAAACTTCTACATAGTCCCGTTTTGGATGCCAAAAATAAATGGTGTAATCTTCTACAAGGAACTTTTTACATTTTAGATTCCGGGTATAACGAGGAATGTATATTAGTTTTACAATGATGTTTATTTGAGATGGTTGCACTTGAGTGGGAAAAAACGTAACTGATTAAATAACTGATTTTTACTTATTTTAAAATACTTTATTTTACTTTTTACAACTTTACAACTACCTAGTGTAGGAGTTGACACTATTTTTTGCAGGAGTTAACATTATCCGGAGTCAACACTGACTTTTGTAAAATTTAACACCATGTCAATGTAGTAGGTTACCTACTTTCGTAGGAGTTTACCATCCCCCGTTATGCATACTATATTGTTTTATTGCCTACAGCCTTAAGCCTTTAACCGATTGAAAAATCACAGCCGAAAAACTCCAAGGAGGGCGCGATCCACTCATCGCTCCGCCCTAAAATACGCCACTGATTCTTGTGTAATATTATATAACTGACGTTTAGTATAATATTATGCACGTGAAATTATGCGTATTTTGGATATTTCGTACTTGTAAATTACGTTGTTTTAACGGTATGGTACGTGCACAATAATTATTCTAGTGATATCGGCGTTGTGGCTGTGATATTCACGCGCAAACGCATGATTAGTGTTTGTAATTTTTGTTCGACAAACCGCATACTAATGCACAATATTATATCGTACCTATACGCAATATTGTCAAATTTGCGCTTCTCGGTGCTATTATAATATTACGCCTACACAGCGTTGTACGAAATACACGTTTTGAAATACCCGATAATTGTCTAGATGAAAAATACATAACAGTTTAATTGTCCGGATATAGGGACGGGTGATAATTAGGAATTGTCTTTATATTTAGATTGAAAGAAAATGAAATAGACAATAGCAATAATCAAAATGATAATTTCGTTCATTTCACCATGCGTAACGCTATAAAATGCTAAACGTATTAAATGCGTACCGGATTTGACATAGACGTTCACGTTTCGCAAAAGCCGCGCGAACGGTGTAACTCAATAACGTTCGTTTATTAAACCGTACACGCGTTGAATGTTTTTTTTTTACCTCTTTTATTAAATACACGACGCACAAATTACGATTTAAAACGGTTCGTCTGGATACGATGATGAAATATAATAAAGCCGTCCGGATAAAACACAACTTATACACCGATAGGCACCTAGGTACGTTTGATATTTCAACCGCGTTTAGCGGACGAATAGTTCGACGATAATCGAAATACAATAGCATTAAAATACAGGTTTGCCCGATACGCTCCTAATTATCGCGTTTCGTATAATGATAACCGCGTTTTTACAGAAAGCGGCCGATATTACACCGCGTTACCGATTGTCATGTTATTTACGATGACGGTCGCTGGTTTTTATGTCGTCGGTCGTGGCCTACTGCGGCCAGGTATCGACGCCCCTGCAATGTTTACGCAGACACAGTATAGCGTAATAATCGGAAAATTTACTCGAAAATTGCTCGTCGTGATTATGAATAAAATTATTTTGTACACGAACGCTACAATTAAATGTAAATTACTATTTGTGAACTGCCACGGCGAGTTTTAGATAGTGAAATAGTTCGTCGCTCGTACACCGACCGAATAATAACGATATCGGCGAAATTCTTCTCGTCTCGCCACTTATTCCGTATAGGGTTGATAACGTTTAACCGGATAACGACCTTATTTAACCTTTTATTTTTCGCGATTTTCACTATCCGCAGTTTGGCGCTTAGAAGAATCTCGAAAAACCGATAAAATCCAGAAAAGTCGCGATATTTATACAATATGACGAAACGTATCGTATATACTTATTGTACAATTCTGGTCCCAGTAAAAAAGGATTTTTCAGGATTTTTCCTAGCAAATGTGAAAAACCGGGAAAATCGGTACAACATTAAACAAATATTGTTCAAGAAAATACATAAAGACTATTTAATTATTTTAAAATATATTGTAGACAAAGTATCACTATCACTCCGCTCAGAATCGTTTTTTTCGTTTATCGTCGCTTACAGGTATACATTGAATTATCAATAACAGTGGCTGCACCCGCTCCCATTATCCTATAGGATGTCTTTTTTTTTCAAATAAATTTGTACGTGTTTTGAAAAATTACTTTGTGTTAATCATTTGTCAGTGCTGGGAAATTTCGTTAAAAGTGAGGGGGGGTCTTTCAAATACCTCTACTACTTTAACTTTTTTAAACATTTTTAAGTGCTTTATTTTAACGATTTAAGCGCATTTTTGCCGCTTTTGAGTGCACATAAATCCGTTCCCAAATATTATTATGCTTCGGATCGCTCAACGTCATGATATTTCGAGAATATTTCGTGCCCGCGGATAGCGACCATATTACTACAACTACTAAACGTTATTATAAGATGACGCTAGAGTAAAATCGCCCGTTGTAAAAATTCATAAAGGACAAAAATATTCCGGTAGGCGAGGCGGTGCGTTTTTTCTAATCGCTATTCCGGATACTATAACGTTGACCGAACACAAATGCTTGGAAATTGATAATAGTCACAATTTTCACCATAAGTTAGTAGCACTTATTCGCAAGAAAAAAAAAAACAAACCGTAATCGATTGTAAAATATAAGTTTTTTTTTTTTTTTTTTCGACAAGCGTCTCAAGTTCAAATTTGAATGAAACTCGTATAAAAACCGCGGCATTTCCAAACATGTTTAACAGAACTTCGCCCGGAATCGTTTTTCATTAGGAATGACTTATCGCTGCACACACATATTCTATAATCACTCTATGCACATCCTACCTGCCTAACTACCCGATTTCTCCACAATAACAGGCTATACCCAGGCATGCACAACAGTGTTTTATTTATTTTTCTCGGTTTTATTACAAAAACATAGTATTTTCTCGTGATTAAAGTTTTCACTATAATGTTGAACAGACGTATGTCGTTTTTCTCGCGATGGCATCCGTATATAATAATATAATAGGATACATATATATACACATATATATATATATATATATATGTATCAATTTATGACAGTCGGCTGCAGAGTAGGAAAATTCACAGCGCCCCTGGAAAACTAAATAAAAATACAAAAAAAAAAAACGAAATAAATGTGTTCTCCTAACAGCGAAAAATGATACACTAATGTTTGTTTGTTTTTTTTCGCCTTTTTTTTTTTTTTCTTCCACTCGCAATCGTTTTAAACCGCACTTCATATTTTATGCACGTCTCGTCTGTGAGACTTTGTATATTATAATATTATGTTTGTACGAAATTTCCGTTTTAACGGACAGCAAATCTAACCGTCGGAAATTACCAAAAAAAAAAATAATAAAAATAATCGTTTTAGTATTTTAGCGACATATGTTTGCATAAATTTAACTTTGATAAAAGTCTAGCAAACTACATCCCCCGAATGATCTTTTCTTAAGGTACGAAAATTTGAATGGTATTTTAAAATTAATTTTCGAACAGCGGACGTTTCTATATTTTTTACATTGGAGTGATCCGTTTATCGCAGATTTTCTCGGATGAATCCATCTTAAACACAGTCTCAAATAGATCATATTATTATAATGTTGTTAAAATATTTCGATACGCATAACACTTTTATTGCAGGGTTTACAGTTTACCATTATAGTTATAGTAGTTTAACATTTAAACCGGAGTAATAGGAAAGATTTATAAATTGATTATCTAAAAAATAAAGCCTACATTTCAAACTGTTATAATTCGGTGTAAACGGAAAATCCGGTGTTATAATATTTTAGTGTCACGCCAATCGTCGTTTTTTAAAAAAAAATTATTCCTTTCTCTATTCAAAGGTCACTTGTTCGAGATAAAATAAAGAGTCCGGGGACGGTACACGACTGAAAATAGCGTTAAAATAAAACCTAAAGCAATTGAAAGGAAAATAAAATAAAAACCAGAAATCGAATTCATTTGAAACTCTCCCCGAGAAAATCGCCGAATAACGATTGAAATAAATGGACGGTCACTGTAGCGATTGACTTGTAAAAAACAAAAGTCAAATAATAAAGATATACAGCGATATTATAGCTATTTATGTGGCGAATCACTTTTTCGTCGAGGAAGAAAAACAACAACAATAATATTAATATAAAAATCAGTAGCGTGTTCACGGTGAAAGATTAAGGAGGTATATCTCCCCTCCCCCCCCCCTCGACCTGTTTTAAATGTCTGCTATTTTTACGACTACCTTTTTTTTTTCAAATTCAAATGTCTTCGCGTTTTAATCGAAAACATGAACACGTATATTTTCTCGTTTAAAACAGAGTCTATCAAAACTAGCCAGTTTAGTACCTACCTATAAATAAAGTAAATAAATCAAACAATTACTTTCCTATACACCAACGGTTCGGTATTCGATGTCAACGATAATTTTAGGGTGTAGATTGAGTTTCTTACACGTACTGAATAAATAATTACTTACACAAGCTTATAAGTCACCAAAATTTGATCATATTTTCACGATTTCCAAATTCAAAAACTCCGTCACTCGCTAAATACCGTACTTGACCATAACCATAGGCGTGTTTACAGGTGTGCTAGCTATACCAATAACCGAATTTTTTTTTTCAGATTATTATTTTTAACTAATAAAAGCCACTAGTTCGAGTGATTCGGTACGTTTAACAACTGCCATTTTGTCGTATCAGATGTGAAGTGAAAAATACGGAGAAAAAAAACGACGGAGGCGCAGAATATTTTGTGTACAACGAAGTTTTCAGTCGCTGATATTATCGTTGAAAGTACAGCATAATGTAACTTTGCAATACCGCCGAACTGAAAATACTGCGGCACCGCACACCGAATCGCGATAATATTATAATAGGTCGCACTATAGTAGTTTATCACTGAAGTGTTTTACCGCGGTTTTTATTTGGTCCACAGTGTTTGTCGTGACACATTAACCGCGAAATCGCCGTTCGCTGTAGATCGCCGTTTATTTTTAAGCCGTGTAATTTTTCAAGCGCGGGTATACATGTCCGCGCTAACCGGTGACTGCCGGGTTACGAAAAAAAGAAAAACCACACCTTCAAAAAAAAAATACAATTTTCATTGTTTCCAAACAGAAAAGTAACGACGGTTAACGCGGCGAAAAGTATACTGTGGTATTGAGTCGAGATTGTTTATTGAAAACTTGAACTTCGGCGATATTTTCGTATTATATAAATTTAATGATTATTTTTTTTTTTGCAAATCTGCGAACCAAAAGTGCGGGGCTACTTCTGTACGATCGCGGGCGAGTTTTCGATCCGGTCCGCGGACAAATAATCATTACGCGAAGAGTTCGACCGCGGAATTATTATTACTTTTAAGCACCCGCGATTAATAACAATAAATAATTTTCAGATATATGATTATGAATTTGTAAAGTTTAAAACGGTCGTTGCGGTAAAACGGAAACGTTCGACTTGTTTAAACACTGCGCGCGGCGGAAAGTATCTCTCCGCCGCGGATAGGATAATATATAATCGGATTCGAATGAATCATTAACCATAACGCGGAATCGTTTGTTTTATTCGGCATCGCGGCTACTGGATTCGGTACGCTTTTTTATTTACTCCCCCTCTCCCGGCCCTCGAGTCGATCAACCCGTATAGGCCGGTGCCGGGAAAAATATTTTATTAAAAAAAAAAAAAAATAAAGAATACTTTTCCACGATATAATACAACGTCGCGCGGTTGTTATAATACCGTAGCGTACTGCGGGGGGTTTCGACGCGGTGTTGCGCACCCTCTCCTCCCCTCCCCCCGACGGCGTTTTAAAAACGCACCTCCGCGGACAACCCGCCGACCACACGCGACTTTTAGTTTCGCCTTCTTCGTCCGATACGTTTCACCAGAATCAACGCACGGACAGTGGCGTAACTCTCGCTTCTAATATCCGTGGCAAAATATTCTAGACCGTCCGAATCGAGGGCCAAGTGCACAATTCGAGCCGGGGCGAAATTTACACTGATCGGAGCAAAAGAAATAAAAAACAAAAAATCTTTGCCGATTTGCATACACCTGTCCGTCCACTCATATTACCAGATAAGCGAAAAAAAGATCATCGCATTTTCTCTTCTGTTCGCCAATAATGCCGTGAGCCTTGATTTGGTGCCCCTTGATGTCAGGGTTCAGTGACACATTACTGATCGTCATGCCGCCTTATGGATACGCCACTGCGCACGGAGATATTTACATCGAGTTTAATATCGCGTTTTTCTCTGTGAAATTTCAATCTGTCTTCCGCAAGCGAAAGCCAAAACGTTCGGTTCGGTTTAAACGCAAACGGAAATTCGGACTTTGTCTCGGAATCGCGAATGAATTAAAAATATTACGGCATTGCGCTCGGACTTGAAATCGCCTTCTGTTATCAACGGTATCGGAACGATACGCCGATGAACCTTCTTTTAATAAATGTTCGAATTTTTTTTTTTGTTTTATTTGAAAACAATATACAAAAAATCCGAACTGCTGCTAACACGAACACTCGGGAAATATATAACAGGTCTGTGCGACAGTGCGACTGCAATTTGAACTAAATTTGTCCGTTTTTTTTTTTTTTATTCACATTCGTTCTCTTTCGATTTTAATATAAGTACGAGGAATTTGCGATAGAAAAAAAAAAAAAGCAAACAACGGAGCAATAATAGTATAATTCAGCAAATTCCGGCGGAAATCGTGTCGACGTGTTACGGTGACACGAGACGCACAGTTAATTGTAATAAAAACAAATAATTACCATGAAATGTTCGCGTTCCGTTCGGAATATAAAGAGAAAAACTCACGATGAATTGAAGAAGAACTGGCCGAACGGGTGTCGTACAATCGTCAGTTCAGCGTTACGCAACGCACATTTCGTTCAAAAAGGATTTCCGTTGAACGTGTGTTCTTCGCGAAAAGTCACTCTCGTGAATTCCGGTCGGACGGACATTTGCGATGTTTATACGCAATGTCCAACCGTAACTGTAGCGCGTGTTGTTGTGCACGAAACGTGGGCGTCGAAAACGTGAGACGAAAAACACTATTTCGCGTCCCGGTGCACATCCGAACGTTCACGGCGTAATTGTAATGTTACCAATGCATACGATTCGCACGTTATATTATTATACGCGCTCGCGGGTAAACGGTTTCCGTTTCCCAAACCCGAATGGGTACAACGCGCACAACGGTTTACAACGAAAAATGCGAATTCGACAACGGCGAAATCAACGACGAGTTTAAAATTATCATGGGAAAATCAACGTTAAGCAAAAACCCTGGACTTCTCGGTTTGGGAAAAACAATTGTTTTCGCCCAACGCGGTTATCGTGTTCGTTAAGAAATATAATTAAACGGTCAATATTGCGCGGCTTTCGGCGGACCGCGCGCCCGCTGTGGCTTTTACGGTGTTTGCCGTGCGCTTCCAGTCTTGTTAGTTATTGTAAACGTATTCGTCAATACTGTTCAAATTTAACATTGTGTATATATATTTAATTCCGTAATTTATTCGCGGTTTACTCGATGTTTTATTTATTTTATCATTTCCACGGTGGCGTTTGACAATGCAATTTAGTTAAAAATAAATGAGGGCTCGTTGTTGCGCAGATTTAAACACGATTGATGTTTTTCCGCCGAAAACGGAGACTATTGCACTATACATTCACTATATATCTGTTTTCAGGGGTTATTTGAATGCTTTTGGCAACTCCATCTGGATCAAAAGAACTCAAACTCGGGAATTAGATTAGGGGAATTGCAGTTTGATCAAATTTCGATTGAATTCCATCGTGTTGTCGCGAGAGGTGGGTGTTTTTTTTTAGCTTTATACACCCTTACAGACCCTTGAATAACGCCAGGTGGATGAATTGTTGTATACGCACGGTGCAAGTACCAATATCGTGTCTTTTCATGGTTTGCACCCCTTCCCCGACCATATTTGCGCTCAGATTTCACGTCTACACGTTTTAAATACCCTTTTAGACTCGAGAATGTAAGTAGCTTGGTTAACGCATGTATATATGTATACAAATTAAATTTTTGTCAAGGATATAACTTTAAAAGGTTTAAAGTTTCAACCACCCTCGGTCCCACCGTCTGTTTGTATGTTAGCGAGAACTCTATCACCTGTTTTGATAACGCGTGTTTTGTTCAATTCATTGTCATTATAAAAAAAAAGACATACTTGGTACGTGGGCGGCCATTATTGTAGGTGAAAAATTGGGAAGGTAGTTGGAGGAAAACGTAATGTATTTCTGTAAGCGACGATAAACCATTGCTAACGATAAAACGATTCTGATTGGAGGTCAGTTGATAGTGCGTTGTTTTGTCAACAATATATATGTCATATTATGGTAAAATAATTGCATAGACACTCTGTATATTTTCTTTAACGATATTTGTTTAATGTTGTACCTATTTTCCCATTTTTCTTATTCGTTTATCTTTTTTCCTGGTTTTTCTCATTTGTTGAGAATATCCTTGAGAAAATCAAAAACCTACTTTTTTAAATAACCTCCCCAGTTCAATTTTTTTTTTTATAAAATATTTTACACTTAAAAATCGGAGCAAGATTTCTAGTAGAAAAGTTCCCCACAGAAAAAAATAAAATAAAAAAATAAACATCGTGGTAAAACAGCTTTTATGCTGTTTGTAAGTTTTTTCGTTTCATCCAGAATCGAAAAATGTTCGAAAAACCACAAAATATTGTAACGAAAACAAATCGACTGGAAGCAAATCTGTGTCTAGTGGCGGAGTTCTGCTGCTCGTGTGTGTGTGTGTGTGTTTTTTTTCTATTCCAGTATCGATTTTCCGATGTGTACAAGTGCATATTTTTTCACCTTTACGCCGCGTATTCGCATCGTGTTTACAGCACTTTTTCAGCACATAATACTACAATGCCGGTGTCCAATAACAAGGATTTTCTTTTTGCCGTTTTGGCCCCGGAACTCTCTAGAAATGACGTCTGCGAATAAAACAACGACACGTGTCTGCTAATATTATACATACTTTCGCCGTTTAATTGATTGCGTATAATAGGCGGTTGATGAACGGCGGACGGCTAACATCCAGCGAGTGCTTGATTTACACTCGCGGGCGCGCACAGTGTTGCGCAAAGATAACTAAACATTTATCTAGACAAATAAGATGGAAACAAAATTGGATACAATTTATCTAGATACTGATCAATCAAGATTATTAAAAAAGATAAACAGTTTTTTATTGCAATATTTACGGCACTTTTTTTTTTTTTATCAATATAAAATATTAAGAAACATCCCCCCGACTTTTTTGCTGTCGACCTTTTTAGTATAACAATGAGTTACTACGAGGCTAATATGATTTTATTTATTTGCCTGCAAACATGTAAAATTTCCGACAAGAAATCAATTTTTCTCATTTATAGGAATTGGTATTACTACCCCCCCCCCTAGAGCCGGCCCAGTGTAAACTTATTACGAACTATGACCCGCACAACGTCATGCACATTGCGATTTACGATGATAGAACCCGTGTCGAGCCGTATCAAATTAGAAATTACTACATACTTTTAATTATGTTCTGTTTAATTTGTTGAAAAAAAAAAAACCATGTAAAATAATATACGTGGTCACATAGGTATAAATACCTAGCGATTACTGATCCAGATGGATAACAAGTTGGATTGCACAATTTTTCCACGAAGATAATTCATCAGGTTACCGATTGCGTCGATTATCACGAAGAGATAAAAGATAATAAATTATTTATCAATACGATTTATTTCAGATAATGTTCAACACTGGGCACGCGCAGGACGCGTTAATGAAAAAAATCGCACACCGTCCGGAGCCTCTGGCCGCGCCGCGGCGGGCGCGCGTACTGCGTATGTGTATGAAAAACGCGCACGTTTCGCGTGTAAAAATAAACTTTTATTATTAAATATAACTTTTTTTTTTCCTCCACAGCCTTGCAGGTGGGCTGCCCTACTAATAACGAGCGCGAGAACACGGACGCGGTAAAAACCATCGTTTCATTTTGGACCGCGTTCAGTGCACCATGATACTATAACATCATATACGTATATATACAAAGGTATCTATGGAGGTACGTGCATAGATGATAAAACGACGGGTATAGTAGACGAGACTACTCCGACTATATACCGACGGAGGATTACGTTACGCTTTTTCGGGACAGTGAGTACGTCGGTTTTCTATATGAGAGAGAGAGAGAGAGAGAGAGAGAGAGTGAGAGGGAAGTTGGATGGACGCGTAGCGAGGAATTTTCAAACGGGAATATAATGAAATAAATGTAAAATCTTTTTTCCGCTATATCACGGTAAATCATCATTTCGTATCTACAACAATGATATAATATTTATTTATTATTTGAAACGAAGCTGTTCTCGTTTATAATCCGTTGAGTAGGATTTACGATACACCATGTTGCGTAACTTATGGTTTTTTAAAACAGTTTGAATTAACAAACCGATCGCGCAGAGTTATAAATGAAATGTTCGGTGATCGGCTTTTTACGCCGAACCTAAAAAACTGAAACCCGTCGAAAACCGCGCAGTCGACATTTTCGACACAGAATCCGGGAATCGTTCCTATACCGGTTACGTAATACAAAGTTACGAGTTTCTTCGGGAAAACGTGAACGTATCGTAGAAACGTATAAACTCGTAAAAAAATAATAATCGTAATAATGGGTCTTTACGATTGACTTTCTTCAGTCTTTTAAGAAAAACTTACAACCAATTTTATATCAAATTGTCGACGGTGTAAACACGCAGCCAAAAAATTAAATTGAATCCATTTGAATCCAAAAAAAAAAAAAAAAAATCTCGACTATTTCATATGTCTATATAATATTAAAATAGTATAAGTATTCGTGAAATTAATCGTCTAATTTTCCAGCGAAATCAAATAATAACATAAGTATATTATAACTTAATATAGAAATGTTAGTAATAAAATTTCCATATTTTAGAACTTCCCAGAAGTAATGTTAGATTGAAAAAAAATCCATTTTAATATTAAATTAGTTTACATAAATTTTTTTCGATATTTTTCGATATTCATATACTGCGAATCCAATAATTTTTGGTTTTTTTTTTTTTTTTAATGATATGTTATTTTACGAATTATTCTACTAAAATATTATTTAAGAAAGGTCTAAAATTGTTTTTCCAAAATTTACGACTAATGTATACAATAAATGTTTAACTTGTTTATTTTAAACGGAATTTTTGAATTTTTTTCAAGTCTCACGAATCGTGTGAAATTTCTTAAAAATAAAAGTCCGAAATTCAACAACGCTGCGCGAAAATATCATGTTCATAAATATCTTAAATTATATATCTATTCGAGCTAAATTAATTTCCAGTCCGCTTATAATTTATTATACGCAGTCGTAAATTATATTACTCCGTGTGTAACATTATGCAATATAATATATTTAGAGGTAGGAAAACGTGAGGCAGACCGGGGAAACTATGGTATAAGAGCTGTGATTCACTCAAAATTTGAAATTTGATCCATGTTTACTCTATAGGATGTATTTATTAGTATATTATACATTTAAAACGTTCAGTTAAGTCTCGTAAAGTTAAATTTTAAAATATGTAATAGTATCGTCTTTCCCGTTTCGCCCCACACCCGAGATCCAATGAGAACGTCCTATGCACACTATTCACTTTACATATTATATCAATGCCTTTAAAACAATTTAATGAATAATTTTATTATATTACAGTAACAAAGTAAAATATGCTCGACAAGTTAAAATACCTATTGTGATCAGTAAAATGTTTAAATACTATAAGAAATTTTCATATTCGTATTTTACGTACACGGGGTCATCAATATAACATAGAATACTCATTAATTCGAAGAGTATTAACATTTTTTTCGGTATTTGTCTTTTAGAATATTTAAGAATTAAGTAGCTATAAAATAATACATTAGTCATTTTTTTCGTTCTTATTTTAAGATGTGAAACCACTACTTACTTTTGATTTTCAAATGAAAATATATACTAAAAATCCCATAAACAGACGAATTATTAGTTTTAATCGATTTTTGTGTTGAAATTTTTATTTTCCATCAATACGTTGATGAGATATTGTACTTTTAAGTTTCAGTTGGGGGGATAAAAGCAAATTCTGCAAAAGGTAAAATAACTTTACCGAAATAATGTTACGTTATTTTGATCGCCCTGTATACTTCATGATTGGCCAATCCGCCAATACCATTATTTACTCAGATGTGCAGACATTTCCGGTTTTGGTAAACACCACAAATTGATTTCCTTCAAATAATAATTAATTGTTACATTATTTTAGTCAGGACTATTGAAGACAATTCGGCTAAAATACAACGTAAAAAAACTATATTATTTAAAGGAGATTTTAGGATAGTTAGTATTGCTGCGTGATATCTTAAGAACGATTGACCATCTTGTACATATAAAATTTTCTCGTTTTACCCAACGATTTGACCACAACGTGAATATTTTATTTTCGATATTTGATTTACACATAAATGTTTAATTTGTGTGCAAAAGATGATAGAATATCACATTTTCAATATTTGAAAGGATTTCAATGATATTGTATTACAAGAATGTGAAACCTAGGATTAAGTTTGATTGGATGCAGTGGGGGGAAGTGTTATTTATAAGTTGTATGTGACAAAAGAATCCCAATGAGACTTAACGTTGGTTCTACAAGACAAGAACAAGAATATGGGGAGACTGACTATGCTGCATGGTTTGGTATATTGGGCGGTAGATAGAAAATTACTCGCATGCTATTTTAAACACAGTACGACCAATTGATAAATTCGTAAACGAAATACCTCTGGTCGTACATTAAAATATAAGGAGAATAAATCGGATTATTGAAACAATGAAATTTATATGAAACTACAAAGTCAATGTCCTGTTGATAATCTTCAATGCGCTTTAATTACACCTGTAATGTACCGTAACTTATCTTTACTGGCATTTATTGGAATTCCTTTTACGTTCAATTTAATTACGTTTATTAGATTATAGTAGAGATCGGATGAATGTGGACTCACGCCTTGAAATTTCAAAAGTTCCTGCTGAATAGTAGATTTGTAATATGGATTTGAATCTTCACAGATTTGAACAATTTAACACTGACCGTGTAAAAGAAGAAAATAGCAAAATTTTAGAGGATCTTACAGAAGAGTAGTTCAATAATGCGGTTTTGGATCTTCAACTGATACTGATGACGTAGAAAAAAAAAACAGTGCAAAACCCCCTACAAAATAATTCTAAATTCTGTATGTCAAAAAACTGAACACTTTAGAAAAATTCTGGTTCCACAAACGATTTCAGTGCAATAACAACAAATACATACGAACAAATTCTAAAATATACTTTGAATGTAGATAAATTATTCTATGAAGTGAGCAACTTGTATGCGTAGGTATATGGTAGGCAATTACAGCAAGCCGGGCCCAATAACGTAACGCGTCTTTTTTCAATTCCTCATAACTCATTGAATAATATAAGTGGAAACATTAAACCTATACAATATTTCTCAGAATCGATCATTTTTTCAATTTAGGAAATCTTGTTTTTTGTATTTTTTGGTCTTTTGAGAATATTTGCTGTACAGTAAACCAAAAAAAAAAAATAATCAAGTTACATTAAACAAATAAGGCTCAAATTTAAATATAAAATAACAGTTTGTTATTATCTACCGAATAACTAATAAGAGGTTTGTGTATGATTATATTAGTTTTTTATTGATATTTTTAATTGCTGAGGCCATTATAGAACATCCATATCAAATCCATCCATATCCGGTTCACCGCATGACCTTGTGCTGCCCTACGTCAGGGTATGCTTATACAGACTTATACGCAAGCAGTGAGATAAGAGGGGCTTGAAATTAAATGGACGGAATTATTTTAGTGTACGTTTATAGGTCCTTAATAATTTCTGCGACGGTGTGACCGCAAAGGGCAACTAATTTACAAATGTACAAACAAAATCCCTAGATACACTCCACGATGGGTTCGCGACGAATAACGAACAAATGACGGTTAGGGCGACGGAATGTCGACGTGATTATTTATTGCGCCAGTAATTAATCTGGCGTGGAATCCGTTGGATTTGAAACTGTGTATACACGAATGAAATTATTGTTAACGAACAACTCGCGAAGTGTTGCTAGTACGGCGTAATAGGCTAATTTAAGAAGAAATAAAAACCTAACGTCGTAAGTTTATATGTTTAACAGTTGTATAGTAATATATGTTTATACGTTTATAACGGTCATATTTCGCACGATAGGTGGGCAACTGTTGTGGATGAAAAGTTAGGAACACAGGATATAGAGGAGAATTTAATCGCGTACATCTGTACGCGACGATTAATCATTTCTGACGAAAAGCGATTCTGAGCGGAGTTTGGTTATGCATGTTTTGAAAAGCCGTAATATTTACAATTCGTAAATTGTCTCGTTTTTCCTGAAAATCTTAATCAAATTTCTGGTAGATAAGTCGTTTGTAAAGAAAAAAAAAATAAAAAATAAACGTCATAATAAAACAAACACGTTCCTCGCTCCGTTCAGAATCTAAAATAAAGATGATAGCATATTGTCCGCGAGAAAAACAAAACGGTTCTGGGAATTTCCTCTGCGCAACCTATGCCATAATATCGTATTAATTTGCTCGAAACAAATTACGAACAAATACTATAAACTTTTCCCCAATACACGATAGTAATTTTTCAAATCCATCGAGACAAACAACAAAACCATTGTTTTAGTATTCAATTTTATTATCAGACCATTATGATTCAATATGTGCCGGGCCCAAATCCATTTCTTATGCGCCCTTATTGACATTTACGTGTCTAAAATAATCGATTTTATTTATTTAAAACAATAAAAAAAAAAAACTATTAAAACCATTGTACAGAATGATCTATTTGAATATGTTTAGTAATATTGGGTGTCTATTATGACAGTCAATTGTATTATACAGGTGATTTTTTAATCGTGAACCAGAAATTTTATCGGAGGATTTTAAGTTAATTTGATTTCTGTTTTTATTGAATCGTGGTAAAATCGGTTTAGCTATATTTTAAAACCGTTTCAAATTTTTAACCCTGCTCCATATACCTTAAGTAAGTACACAGTTTCGCTTTTCAAATATAGGTGCCTTCTTTCTGGACGTCGATTCAAATAAAGAATATTTTTTGGGCATTTCGGTATGAATAACACTAATATAAAATGCACCGTTTATGAATTATAACTGTTCAAAGATTAGACCAGAGGAGTAGGGAAGGGCAATAAATAGCATGTCTATTTTTAAATGATAAATCGATAAATCTTCTCTACTCCTCCGGTTTAAACTTTTAACGGTTATAACTCGTAAACAATAAATCTGATATTTGTGGTAATGCGTATCGAAAGTTCTAGAAAAATATTATCCGCGTGAATCTATGATGTTTTATGGAAATCTTTGAAGATGATTGCCGGTCTATAATAACAGAAAAAGTCACTGTTTATATGCAACAGTAGTGTTTAGCGGTAAAAATAAAAATGCAATACTTTACCACAATAATACTATAATCTTTTTCGGGTATTTTTTTTTAAAATTACTATGCGTCAAACGTGACGTTAAGGTCGCAAATGCTATACAAATATCGTTATCGAGCAAATATAGAAATACAAATAAACATTTGAACCGTCAAAGAACGTTGAGCCGGAGACATCACGATTTCGTCCCGGGACGCGAAACCTTCGGGGTTTTCCATGTTCGCGGCCCAGGCTCGCCGGACTCCCGGGATCCGCGGTCGCTCAATCCGACTGTGTCCCGATTTTTTTTTTTTATTGTCGATTTCCCGTACGCCGCCGCGCCGCGAACAGTACCGACCGCGTGACGCGTGCGACAACGCGACGATTGAATATCGACGCGCGTATTTTACGGGGCCGCGGCAGCAGTTTCGAAATATAATAATAACAACAACAACAACAACAACAACAACAATAATAACAATAATAATAATAATAATAATAATTGGATACGATATCGGCGCCGGGCCGGAATTTATACCGTGTGTATGTGTATATATATATATACGGGAGCCAGGGACGACCCCGGCCCCGCGGTGAAATTGATAAGCGGCAACAATAGAAATATCCGCGCGCCCGTAACCCGCGCGTTATCGGCTGAGCCACTCGCCGTCCGTTTACGGGCCGGCCGCGTTCCGCGGAAACGGTGCGCGATGTTATCGAAAGTTCGCGGCGTAACGTCGTCCCGCGTCGTGCGTCGAAACGACCGTCGTCGTTGTTTCGACCGCGCATCGCCGACCGCCGTTTACGCGCATTCGCGGCGGGGTCGGGTCCGCGTTTTGTGCCGCGCGCGACCCGCCGAATAGACCCCGTCGAACCGCTGCGCAGACGGACGGGAGACTGTTTGAAAACCGTTCGGCCGGTCACGGGAGGGGTGTGAGGGGTGTGAGGGATAGGGGGGGGGGAGAGAGAGAGAGGCGGGCGACGACGATCGGACATGGTTTTCCGCGATATTCGATAGTTTTACCGAATTCAAGTGCATCAGTCACCGGAGAAAATATTCGGTCGATGCAGTTCAAAAAAAGTTCGGGCGCGTAATGGGGAAAAATAAAAATAACGCGCGCGTACACGATGTATATAAACAGACGCAATACTGCAGTGCGACGCAGTCATTACTTTCCGGGGAATTCGACAAAAACAAAAAGAGGTTTTCGCACGGTCTTTGCGGCGTACGCGTCGATGTGTACGATGCATTATTCGTCTGTTCGCTCGAGATGTGAACTTTTGATAAAATTCCAACTTAAATGTATACGTACACGGTCGATCTACCGCAGGACACGCATTAACACGGAAAGTATTAATTTGTTTTATAGAACGTTTAAGAAATAAGCAGCTCCGCGGTTTTACATTTGCGCTATTTTTAGTCACCCTCTTACTTTTGGGTGCAAAATCATCACTTACTTTTGATTTTCAAATGGTAAACTATATTAAATATTCCATAAATATCGATTAGATAAAATACATTTTATTCGTGAAATTTTTGATTTCCGTCAGTTCGTCGACGAGATATGCCAGTTTTAAGTTCGGATTGTGAGAGAGTAGTGGTGCGTCGTTTGTGTGGCAACATGGCGCACGGCATTGCAATAGTATTCCATCACTCTCCCCCGACTCAAACTTAAAATCGGTGTATCTCGTCAACGGTTTGACGGAAATCACGGACATATCGGGCCACGTTTCGTCCCGTCTTTTTCTTTCGATTCTGTCCCGTATTGGTCCGGTTTTCCTGTGAACGACTTTTTTACCAGCTATTTTGCTCGGATTTACAACGATAGCGCTTTTTCTGAAAGGAAATTTGACTGCAGTGGTGTTTTATGGAAGTCGTTTTTTGATTTCCCCAGCTGTTTTTACGATGAATGGAAAAAACGTAGGAAAAACCGGAAAATAGGTACATCATTAAAACAACATTATTAAAGAAAATCTATGGTGCATATGTAATCGTTTTACCATATTATGACACATATATATATATATTATTGACAAAGCAACACTGTCGACGGTACTCCATTCAGAATCGTTTTTCATTAGAAATCGATGCGTGCACACATGCATTACGTTTCCTTTCTACCTTTAAAAATTATCACCTACAACAGTGGCCCCCTCACGTGCGTAGTATGTCCGAATTTTTTCTTCTTACCGTTAATGTACGACTTTTAAAATGTAATATTCGATGTCTGTAAGACATATTAGGTATTCAATAAAATCTACTTCACAACGGTATTTCGGATTTATCTTTTTGGCCATTCTAGCGGGTACATTGTATTATAATATAAACGGTGACTAATAAGTAGTGAATAAATTTTAAAAGCGAATCTTGTAATGAGTTTGACAATATTTTATTAAAAGATAACAAATTATACTCGACGCAATTAGTTTTTAGCATAAGAGTACACAAAACAGCAAACGGAGGAATAAATGACAAACCCCCATCATCGCAATAAAATTGTTTTTGTGTACAAATATTTTTATTCGTATTTAAAAACCTTTATGCAGCACACGTGTATCGTTTCTTTTTTTTTTTGTTATTATAATTTCAGTTAAATGTTTGCTTTGTTTATAACGCATATAATATCATGTCAGATTTGTTTTTTTTCGAGTGTCCCGTATTTGTACGGTCGCTCATGTGTACACGAAACGATTTCATTAACAAACAACAATAAAAGAGGGGGATCCAGGAGTATTGTTATTTACGTGGGATGGCGGGGGGAGGAGGTGGGAACAAATCTAAAATCGAAACGTATACCATTGGTTCGACGGCAATTTTTTTTTTTTTAATATTCGCTAACCGCGTAAACGGCACTAATAATAACAATAATATTGCAGTGCGGTACAACGCTGGCGTACGGTTACGTCTAAAACGGTAGGACATCCGGAACATCGCACTGTTTAGCAGAGGTCGACAATCACTACGGCCGTGTACGTCAAATTATTCGGATTCGCGACGTTATTGAAAAAGAAAAAAAAAATCACTACAATATTTTCGTTTAGCCTATAACTAGAATAAGACGAGTGCACTATTCGAGTTCTGTACACAACGATCGTTGCGCTATTTTTCATTTCCGCTCGGCCTTCTCTCTCTCACTCTCCCTCTCTCTATCTGTATCACTCAAAAAATTCTATCTGGGACACAAAAAATAATAATAATAATAATAAACGTCATCCGGTTTCACTTATTTTACAGACGGATAACAATAATATATTCGGAAAATATATATTATAGAGGTACTACTATAAAATAATAATATTATTTCTCTAGGTTTTAATATTTACACATAGTCTATGTACGACTGTCTAGACGTTTCCCAAACTTTTACCGTACGTCCAACAGCAGTGCGATGGCATTTTTAAAACAATAAAACATTCAATATCTCCAGTATTAAAATAACTCCGAACAATATTGTATGAAAAAAGAGAAAAAGAAACAGGTCTAACGGGTCCGCGTATTGTACAATAAAATGATATGATAGTAATATTTTTCGTGAGATCCGGCGTACTTAAAATATTATAAAAAAATAACGACGGTAGCGTTGAAATGTCCGTCCGGGTTCCTGCGTTGATATAGTTCGGTTATGACACCCCGGAAGTGACTCGTGGGGGAAAGGGTGAGAGAGAGCAGAAGTGACGAGTATCCGTCCCTGTAGATTTTTAACCGTACCGTATCGGAGAAGGGTTAGAGGGGAATAGAAGAAATAACAATAATCACGTCCGTCCGGTCCGGTGGGGTTATCCGACTGGGTGCCGCGAGCATTGGTCGCGTGAGCCGCGGTTGAATTTTTTTTTTCTCTGCATTTCGTTAAACGTAACCGATCGCACGCACGGAAAAATATACGCTGTTGAAAAATCAACATTATCAACTGAACTCCGCTCATAATCGATTTTTCGAAAGCAATAGTTTATCGTTGCTTACAGGTATACATTGCATTTCCCCTCCACTACCTTCCCCCAGCTTCTCACGAATAACAGAGGGGGTTTATACCCTCGAGTGAAAAATAAATTTAAAAAAAAAAAACCTCAAAAACTCCAAACTCTCCCGAACGGTTTCGCGTTATTGTGACGTGAGAACGTCACGTCGTCGATTGAGCACGCAATGACGACACGACGTTTCGCTGTCGACAAATATCGAATACGAATATTATGTTGCCCGTCCCGATACAATGTTATAATGTTATTAGGCTTATTACACTCGTTGAACACGTTATCAGTGATTTGGTTAAATTGCGCGCGACAATGAAATTAACATGCAAACGAAAAACCGCGTGTGGTTACTCGCGGGCGCTCGTGAAAACGGCCGTCGATCGACGGTTCAATAATTTTCGGTGAAGCGGCGCGCTCACGCCGGAAACCCGAGATGGTCTTTTGAACGCGTTGCCGAATTTCGAGTGTCGTCGTTTTGTATCGTTTGACAGAATTTGTTTTAGATATTAGCGTACAAATGGGTCTGTGTCGGGATTTCACCTGTCAAAATATTTCCGGCAAAATATGAAATTAGAAAAACTCATTTCTGGAGATACTAGTCTGAATAAAACAGAAAAAAAAAAGGGGTTTTTACAGGGGTCGCGGCAAAAGAATTTTAGTGAAAACATTTTAGAGAAATCCAGCGAAACGCCAGCTCTTTGGTATTTAACAGGACTGGACTGGTACATAACATTAAATTTTTAATCGATGACTTTTAGAACGCACCGAGGAACGTATTGGTTCCACAATGGTGTCAGGGAGGTCATTTTTTGATTTTCCAAGCGGTTAAATAATCGGGTAAACACGTACCGGTGGCGGAGGTGGGGGGAACGTTGGAACACGGGAAATTTTACGAAACGGATTATGTTCAATTTCGTTTTTTGTTGCGATTCAGTTAGAAATGTGCGTAGCGACTGGAAATTCGGACAGAAACTTACATTCACATTTTTTAGGAGTTGTGAAATTTTCAATTTTCAAAACATTCGTGCCGTTCTCGAGCTAGTTATAGACGTTTTAATCTTGCGAGTTTCACGCTTAATGTGTATCCGCTGCGGACACAAATCGCGAAACAGAAAATACGCGTGGACATTTCACGGGAGGTCAACGAGAATAGGTAACTTACAACGGGTGCCGTTGAAATATGTATTTATTCATATCGGAGATGTTTTGACGGCCTGCCGTTATAAGGACGGTGGTTGTGGAGGGAGGGAGAGGGTGAGAGAGAGAGAGAGAGAGAGAGAGAGGTTTATCCGTTTAAAAAATAAAAAGGTCTTCGGCCCGTGACATTACGCTCGTCGGTTCGAACGGTCGTGTCGACACGGCCCGACTCCGCGGATATTGCGCGCGTCGCTTGACTCGCTTTCGAAAGGCGCGTTACAGTTTGTTTGTTTTTTCAAAGTCACGACATAACGAAAAACGCGCGAACAATTTGTCGAAACGACTCCGGTCACCCGTCCCTCCCCCCCCCCCATCCCTCCAATTCTATTTTTTCGCCAGGCGCTAAACCCGCTCGTTACTCGTGACGGGTTTCGGGCGAGCGCCTGCGAACAAATTTAAATCGTTGAGAGGGCGGGGGTTCCGCGGTGAGCCTGCGACACGTACACTGGCGCTCTACGCTGTAATAGTAAAAACGGTTAAAAGTCACGCGCTCCTTACCTGGGCCACATGTAGACCCCGGACACCTCGAACCCGTAGTGCCACGATCCCGAGTACGCTCCTTGGCCCTTGGGGCCGGTGCACACGCCGTGTCCGTGCGCCTTGCCGTCCTCCCAGCCGCCGCAGTACGTGCCGCCGTCGTCGAAGTCGAACCGGCCACCGTTGATCAGTATCTTGTTGGTGGTGGCCGTGCCCGTGGCCGCCGTGGACGCGGGCGAGTTGCTGGGCAGCTGTTGCAGTTGCTGCGGATGGTGCTGCGGCTGGCGCTGCTGGTACTGCTGTTGCGGGGGCACCAGGAGCTGCTGCTGGCCGTGCTGCTGGCCGTACACGCTGGGCGGTGTCGGCGCGGCCGGCGACGGGGCCGCGGGCATGCCGCCGCCCGTGTTTTGCATGGCGATGTCTCGCGCGGTCTAGTGCCGCCGGTTCTGGTCGGCGCGCTGTTCGTTCAGATCAGCCGCGGCGACGGGCCGCCGATGGTGCCGCTGCCCGTGTTCCGGTCAGCGCGACCCGTCATCGCGCGCGATAGGCCGACCCGTGCCGGTTGCTGCGACGCAAGGCCGCGGCCGCCGACCAACCGGTTTTTATCGGTTTCGCGTCGCCCGTGTGTGCTCGACCACCGCCGTCGACGATCCCGTCCACCTGTAAACAACAGCGCGAACGCGGTCAGTGACATTGCGAAACGTTCCCGTTCGGTCGTGTTGGCGTGTCACGACGTCCGGCGTAGTGCCGCCGCGGCCGTCTCGCCCGGTCGGGTCGCCCGGCCGAATATCCGAAACGAGACCGCCGGCACTAAACCGCCGTACCGCGTGATCCGGGCGCGCCCGAAACCGCTACTCCGCGGCCGCACGTCATGTCCCGGCGGTCGGGATTCCGAATGGCCGGGTAAAGTGGTCGGTACAGACATGTTCGGGGCGGCCGGCCGTAGGGGCCGTCGGTAGCGGTTTCGCGTTCCGGTCCTCGCCGCGCCGCGGAAGCGCACGCAGTTCGGGCGCCACCGTCGCAATGCGATAACAGTGCGATACGATATTGTCATAACGATGCGCGGAAACGGCTGCCGGGGACGACCGGCGAAACGCGGATCGCGTAACGTTCGCCGCGACCGAAACGCGTCGTTACTCGTACGCGGGGCGAGGGGGGGAGGGTGTGTGTCTTTGGATCGGCAAACGCCTTGTGAGGCGACACGGCCTTCGGGGAGTTTTAAACGATTACCGCGGGCGGTAAAATTAGATGTAATCGTGTGAATTTTTTTTTATTTTTTTCCAAATGCCACTTTTATACACCGGTAATTTCGTTCCGATTTTCAATCGTAGCACTTTACCCGAAAAGAAATATGATTGGGGGCGGTACTTTAGATTCGATTTTCCCATCCGTTTCCATAATGAACGGGAATAAACGGGAAAATAGGTATAATATTGGACAAACACGATCAAAGAAAACGATTAATACGATTAATTTACCGTAATATGACATAATATATATATATATTGTTGACGAAGCAACATTATCAACCGAACTCCGCACAGAATCGTTTTTTTCGTTAGCAATGGTTAATCGCTGCGTACGGATATACATTAAATTTCCCCTCTACTGTCCTCCCCACTACGCGTATATAACAGGGGCCGCGCCCGTCACCCGTTGTCTTAGGACAGCATTTTTTTTTTCATTATTCGTTTCAGTCAAAAAATGCACTCGAAATTATTTTCAATGTAAATCTGTATGTATGTATAGGTAGCTCTTTGTACGGAGAATTTTAATCTGTTTTTTTACAGTTTGCATATTTCCGTCGGAAATTTAATTATTTACTATTTTGTGCCTCCTGAACGATTTCGAAATATTGATGAGATACTCACGGTTCTTGCACTGGACCCTTCAATTATTATTAAACGCGTACAGATATCGAAATGAAAAAAGTCCGTCGTGAACTTTTTTCGTTTTTGTTTTGATCGAACTTTAGAAAAAAAAAAAAAAAAAAAATGTTAAAAATAAACATTAATTATGTTTAAAATTAATTATTATTAGTTTTATATATTTTTTTTCAACAAATTCCTCGAATACCGATGAAATTTCCGTACTAGTGTTATTTTCGACGATTTCATCGAACACGAATACATTTTTAGACGCCGAACGGATACCGAGGAATGCCGAGTAAAAAAATAATCATGTACACATTGTATCTATTCTTGAATTTTCGCGATAAAGATACCAACGGCTTTCTGTTCCCCCGCCCGCGTTGTCTGCGAACATTTCCCGGGAAAGAAAAAAAGTTTCACGCGATGTCTGCGAAAAATGTTTCCGAATTGTTTGTCAGTGTATAAATATGATTACCTGCGTATACCTACAGCAACAAAAACGACGAAATAAAAAAAAAAAAAACAAAAAAAAAAACGCGTTTTAAAAAGTTACGTCCGATCCGACGCTGCTGCCAATCTGAAAGAAAAACAAAATACGTAGGTGTGAAGTCTACCTACGTTGTTTGTTTATTTTCCTACCTGGTAGGCTAGAATAATGTTATACGATTTTTTTTTTTTTATGCTTAAAAGCTGACAATCAACGTTCGGCAATTAATCAAAAACGATTTTTTTTTTTTTTTTTTTAATTGTTTCCCGTCAATGCGACGCGTTCAACGTCGTTTCTTGTACAGAAACTGCGCGTTTTATCATACAGGACGGCGGACGGTGGTTACTTAATCGCGAACCAGCAATTCTCTCGGAGGATTTTAACTTTCGAGTGAATGCGATTTCTGTTTTTTTTTTTAATCATTATGGAATCGTTTTTTTCGAATTTTTATCGCCGATCATTGTGCCCCTTGAAACGATGATCCTTTTCGGAATTAAATATAGCAGATTCAAATAGACAATGTTTTTATAGAAATGTCCATTTGCATAACATTGTAGCACAGTATCAGATTGTACCGTTGTATCAAGTGCAGCAGTTTAAATTTAGGACCGGAACGATCGGGGGTAATACAATAAAAAAAAAAAAACCAAATCCGCTTAAAGTCACCCGGGAAACGACAAACGAATCGCCCTATATGCGAACAGGTGCGCTAGGGACGGTGTCAAATGTCAAATATCGGCGCGGAGGGGGGCGCGAAACCGTGGCCGGCCCTCGGGTTTTCAGAACGGAAATTTCCCACGGAAGTTCGCGTCGAAATGGATTCGGTTTCGATTTCCGTCGACCGGCCGTGGTCGCGATGTGGTCGTTTCGTGGGTGCGCCGCGTGGGCGATCGCGGTACCGATCGCGAGTGATTCGTGCGGCGGCTTCCGGCCGTTCCGCGCCCGGACCCGCGGACCCCGTTTCCGGCGCTCCACCCCCGCCCCCAACCGACCGTCGCGGAAAGAAGAAAAATGGGCGAACGGAAACGGCCGGTCGCGTACAACGTATCGTTCTGCAGAACCGCTCGTTTCTTTTGGCTGTCCGGAGGAAAAGACACGAACCGACGAGCGGACGAAACCCGGACGAACAGAAAAAAAAACAAAAAAAAACCGGGACTCACCGAGCGCCGAACGGACGTCTAGCGCGTCGCACCGTCCGCGGCGTCGGTCGTCCCGCGACCGCGTCGCGACGTTCGACAACGGGGGAAAACCGATCGTCGCGGGGGGGGTGGTGGGGGAAAAACCCAAACAGTTATTGTTATCGCGTTTCGCGGCGCGGGGCGATCGTCGGAGGTGACGCGCGAGTGTCCGGGCCCGCGACCGCAGTCATATTGTCGCGGGCGCCTGCCCCGCCGACCGCCCCCTGATGGCGGTTTTAATTAACGTCACTCGAAAAACCGATTTATTATATATAAATACGTATATACACATATATATATATACGTATACGTATATATATATATATATATGTGTGTATACGTCCGACCTACCTGTCCGCCCCGCCGACCGCTCGCACCCCCCCCCCTCCGCCGTCCGATAACGGTGTTCCCCCGCCTACGCCGCGGTTCCGAACCCCGGACCGTCGGCGTTTTACGCGCGCGTCGCGCGCCGTACGCGGCAAAATGACGTGCGACCGGGCCGAGGCGCCACGGCCCTGCCCCTGCCCCGCACGCGCCCCGGCCGCGCACCCTCTGTCGCAGCCTCTTTTCCCCGTCCGTCCGTCCGATCGATAGAATAGATTGTTATTAAAACAACAATATTATGCGATTACGGCGTTTTCGTTGGGACGGCGGCGGCGTCGGCGGCGGCGTCGGCGGCGGCGTCGGCGTCGGTCAAAACGTTTGACGCGATTCTGCGACGGCGATAACGTCCGAGAATTTTTATTATCGTTATTAATACTTTTTCTTTTTTTTTTTTCTTTTTATATTCCGAGTTCGGCGAACAACGCCGTCGGTTTTACAAAATTGTTTATTTTTATTATTATTGTTTAATTTTTTTTTTTTTTCTACCCGCGAGCCTCGCTCCGATTCCCGAGTGCGGCGCCGCCCCGTCCGAAAGGAAGTGTCCTCCGGGCGGTACATTAGAGAGGTCGTTTTTCGAAATTCCCATCAACGCGCGGGATGACGAGGGAAACCCGGTTCTTTAGGGTGACAAAAAGATTGAGAGATTAAATGTAACGTTGTCAACGTTCTTTTGTACTATCTCAAGAAACGCGCATTGGCCGACAAAGCAACGCTATCAACTGGACACACGCCGCTCAGAATCGTTTTCTCGTTAGCAACGGTTTATCGTTGCTTACGGATATACACCGGACCCCCGTCTGTATCCTGCCTTCCCAACGTCCCACCTACAACAGGGGCTGCGTCCGCGTGGGAAGTATTCCGGTTTTTATTTTTATTTTTTTTTTTTTTTTTTTATCGAATTTACGTGCCGCTCCCGATTCGTCGACACCCGGTTTCTCAACCAAAACGCCAGTTTTTTAATGGTTTTTCAAATAAATCCCAATTCGCCGAAAACAACGATAATATTGTCTTAGCGATTTACACGACTGCAAGGTTAAACCCTGTAGTATTTACGATCGGACAAACCAGCCATTTTATCGTTACACCCGTGACACGACTATTGCCCACGTAAAATAAAATATTTTTTTTTTTTTTTTTTATATTTCATATTTATCAGGTTAAAAGAAAACGAAATAACTTAAATTATTTTATTTTTGCCCAACATGTAACGTTAGTAACTGGCCCGGGACTTGAAAGGCCTATAGGGAAACCTGTGATATCGATCAACAAAAAAAAAAAAAAAAAAAAAATGTAATTTTATACGAGACGTTTTGTTCGTGTTTTTGACCACCAATCGGTAAATAAATTTAAAAAAAAAAACCATAAAAATTTAATGCGGTAAAAAATCTATATACGTTATTATACTTTTCTCGGAAAAAAACAGAATCACAAAAAATTACTTTTTAATAAAATATTACGTTCTACACACTACGTTTGTGAAGATATAGTTTTTC